AAAGCTCAGAATTCAGAATTTACCGCCTTTAATGCTCGGACAGTGGTTAGTAAAGCTAAAACGGCACCCCTGGTCATCCATTATGTTTCTCTCTCCCCATCAGATGTGGTGCTATGTCATCAACAGCGGGCACGTTCACCTTCACCTTCCAGTGTGCAGGCATGGAAGGCCGCTACGTCACAGTGATCATTCCAAGACTTGCTACTTTGTCCCTGTGTGAAGTAGAGGTGTTTGCTTCTCCGGCAGGTATGGTCCTTGAGCAGTAGATGCATGGAAATCAAACAAAAAAACAGAAAACTAGCTATGAAATACTGTATAATGTCTGAAGCTGTTTACGTATTAAGATTTCTTTCTTTCACTTAAAGTGTACTACATCAGACAAAATAATAATACAATATCTTGATAAGATTGATTCCAGCTCTTTGGCTACAAGGCCAGGTGCTGACTCTCTGGCTTTCAATGTTTACTTGATTTGGAACCAAAAACTACCCCACCAACTTATGCTTCTTTTTTTTCAAACCAGCTAGTCCTGAAGCGTATCAAAGATGAATTGTGCCAACTGAAACCTAACAAGATTCTTTCTCTCCAGTGCCAGAGGTTATCACACCTACCGCTCCTCCTCCTCCCGCTGTGAGCGTGCTGCTGAATGGCAGGTATGCGACGGTGGTGGGAAAGAGGCTTTGCTGGTCCGATGCTTTGTTCTTCTGCAGATGTCACCACTGGGACCTGCTCAGCCTTCGCAGCCAGGAAGAGCAGAGCGAGGTGGAGCAGCTGCTGAGCAGCAGTCCTTTCCCCCTCACAGACCATGTCTGGCTGGGGTTGCGCAGGTAGTACACTGACATTGACACTTTAGTGATTTATATCTAGGTGACTGAGAGGGCAGGTGCCCTGGGCTGTTGTCTTTCCTGCAGTCCAAATTCTTAAGGATTTGAATTTTGCAAATGTATACATATGCAAAAGACACAGGTCTTCAAGTAAAATATTGTGTGTCCTTGTATTTGCTAATTTGTATTGCTGCTATTCCAAAACAGATGTGCATGGATGCTTTTCTAACAGCTTTCACCGAAGACACCCAATTACAAATAACAGCCGTAAACCAATGCATAGCTCGTTGTCTGAGCGTAAGTTTGTTAACAAATGTTGTTGGGCAGATACCTAATGCAGGACACGTGGTTCTGGATGTCTGGCGGCGCCATGAAGTTCACCAAATGGCTGCGAGATATTGCCCCTCACCGGTACTCCGACCCCTGTGGAGGGATGGCCAGAGGAGAGCGCTTCCAGTGGGAGGACCAGCCTTGTGACCAGCTCCTCAACTTCATCTGCCAATCAGGTATAGTGGAGGGGGTGTTACACCTCGCATCCTGCACGTGTGCACGTATCGCACTTGGCCACGATACCCTAACCATCTTCTTCTGTCCCTTAGGTGCCGAGGTGGGAGCACAGAGGGTGTACTACGACAGCACCGACAAAGCCACAAGTCCTTAGTCGGGGTTAACAATATTGTAACCTGTTTTTTTTATAGAATAGCAATTTTGCTTCTTGCTTGTTTAATATCAAAAAGTCTCAACCGCCTCGTCAAAGCAGTGATTCCTGCATTCATTTTCATGCTCACGTGTGGGTTAGAGTCACTGTAATCTCGTGTAACCAGTTATTGCATTTCTGTAAACAATGCTCTGAATAATCATATTGCATTCCTACATATTATATCCCTCAAAAATGTTTTCAGGACAGATGAAAGATGTAGAGTACATGTAGCTGTGAAGTCCCTTGCCTGACTACTTTATTATTCTACCACTTCATCTGGTTTTATAATGTGTGAAAGACCTTGGAGATGTGAAATGCAGAGCTGAGCTATCAATAGCAATGTTCACCACATCAAACGTAGTTGGATTTGCGTTCAAAATAAAAGAGAAAGTGCATATTCATTCTGTAATATGTCTGACTGCCCTTGAGGTAGGACAGAATTAAATCATAAAATATGCAGGTGGTCTCTTTGTTGGCGGTGTAAATAAAGCTGATTGAGTAAAGCAATCAAACAGAGAAAAAAAAGAATAAATATGGAAATACACATTTTTTCAACCAGTTATGGCGTCAGGAATGTTGAACCGTGGAGCTTTATGGTCTACCTGCTCAGGTTTACACTTGCGTCACTGCCCTTCTCCCCTCTTACAAGTGGATGGCTCAAACCTCCCAGTTACACCTATAACGGACAATGAAAATGGTGAAAGCCACAATTGAAACAGAGAAAGTATTGAAACCTCAACCAGTACACACGTCTCTAATTACAGAGTGCCTTGCATTAGGTGTGGCACAGTCCTGTGGTGTGTCAGGGAGTTTTGATGTAACCACAACAGCATTAATTAAGGAGTGTCTTACATAAACTGAGACTCCAGATGCAGGGCGGACAAACACGGAAAGGACCTGGTTCGTCTTGTTCTTCTTGCTAGTCGTCTTTGCAACGTGTGCTCAGTCATTACCAGCACGGCAACCGCAACAAACATTTGTTGGTATTGTGTGTATTGTATTAGGCCTTAAAAACGAAAAAAATCTGCTCTGTTTATGTAACTGACCCAGAAACAAACACTTATGTTATTTAAAATAATACATGTTTGCGTCTCTCAGCTGTAGTAAAATCTATATATATATATATA